GAATCTTAGTGGACAGTGTACTTCGATGGGACACTGGATCGTAGGTTTTATAAAACTTCTATGTGTTTTGAAGAGGACATTTTGCGGGAAAGGTGAGTGACAGCCAAACTGCATGAGGTTTTCCTTTTCTTCCTGCAACTTAGTATTGAGGTTTGGGTTTAGGAAGGTAGCGTAGCGGGAAGCGGTGAAAGTCCCTAAGGAGCCCAGAGTAGGACATCTGGTCATTTCTGCAGTGCAGGTAATCGCTAGGGATAAGATCCAAAGGCTGCAAGTCTTGAGGTATCTCGCAGGGAGAATATGCCGTGCGTATTCATGGAGTTACAACAGACCTTTGTAGGATGTCATCTGTGAAGTACATGCCTCTCCATAGCCACAGGCCAAATACTGCCCCTTTGCCACGGTCACGGCCATCTCGAAAGGAAAGCTGCAGAGAAGGTTCTCATCCAAAGGACAAATGTAACTGTTTAAGCAGCGTTTGTTCGAAAGGGAGGAAAAAAATTGAGAAAAGTTTAGGATTCTACAGCAGAAAACACACTTCAAGGACTATTTTTTACTGTAGTCTTGTTTAGTGGAGATGGGCCTCATATATTTGGAGTTTAATTTGTTTGTTATATGACATTCAACAACAAATAGTCAGAACAAAGGTACTTTAAAAACACCTTCATTTGAATTGTGTGCATTGGTTCAAATAGTTATCTCAATTTTTATCTTTTTATTTTAAAAAAAAGTGACCTATGAAGTAACTTCCAAATATGACGTGTTGTACCTGACTATAAATGAAACTAGAGTGCACAAAGGCACTTTAATACTCTGGGAACTGTACTGGAAGATAAATGAAAGCATGTGAAATTACACCTGATGTTGTGTTGTTAATTGTTTTTAAAATCTAAAATTCTACATTAATTATGCTTGATGGATGAATGTATCTAGTCTAGTCTGGTCTCTGTTTCTTTGATTCAAGTGTCTAAAGCCGTCACTCAATCTCCTCTAATTTGTATGTGTTTGTAATTTCATTTGCTATTTTTTGCCATTATTGGACTGCAGGGGGTATTGTTAATATTACATGTGTTTATTTTATAGAACATTGTACTATGCTATCTACCAACTTTTGTAACTTAATTATAAGTGATATTTAGGGTAATTCTAATAGCTGTATATTTGGCAAATTATTAAAATTTTCTGCAAGTGACTTGCAAGTATAATTGTTTTCTTTTTAGTACAGGAAGATTGATGAGAAAAAGTTTTCTTGAATATATCCACACTGATTAATCCCTCTCTCTTCTCTTTTCTATGCGCTCTGTAATGGGTGTTTACCTTGGATTTACGAGTTGCCTTTACCACCATATTTTTGTCATGGCATCCATTGCCATTGCTT